AGCGCTGCTCGTGCTTCGATCTCTTGGGGAAGCGAACTCGCTGAGACGGACAAAGCTCCTGCAGGCTACAGACGACGAGAGAGCAATAGCGGGGATAGAGAACATCTATACACAGAGTTAGCGATATTCACTCGTGGGAAATGTAGACACCCACAATGTTCATCAAGGGGTTCAAGTTGATGAGCAGGCACACGGCGGGGATTGTGTTGGCCAAGAAGGCGACGAGGAAGTAGAGGATACCATCACCCATCAACAACTTCCACAGCTGAGAGCGTCCAGGGGTCATGAGCAGACCAATCAAGGTCAAGATCAAGACGATGAGATCCGTGAACATGGCTAAGCAGGCGGTGAGCGGATATCAAATGATTGAAAACGGCCGGACGCACTCCAGAGATACACGAGGTTGAGGAAGAGACCCTCAACGGCTTGGACATCGCAGGCCTTGGTGGCGGGGTTGTACTTGGCCTTGACGGTGGTGACACCATGGAGGAGGATACCCCACTGGCCTGCGCTGATCAAAGCCAAGGGAATGATGATGTAGAGCTTCTTGTTCCAGACGGCAACGGTCCTATTTTCCACCAAACACGTCAGGATCAAAATAAAGCGAGAATAGTGCGAGATGAAACTTACCTCAACATGAGACTATATCGGACAATCGGTAAAACCAGCCATCAGTATCTCCATCAAGGGCAAGGAACGGGAGGAGGGGGGGAGGGGGAAAACTGAATTGGCAGTACTGACAGACTGGAGGCGGCACCGATAGAAGTGTTTCCGCCAAATTGATTCCACTACGGAGCGGGTAAACAAAAAAGGAGAAATGGGATATTAGTCCATCAGTAGGGCACGCAAGGGATGGCTGACGCACTGTGTAGAGGACCTGGCAATTGATTGGGTCTGAGACGTTGAGGGCGATGAGCCTGGAGAGGAGACAGGTGAGTGGAATGTCAAAGATAGGCCAACAATGGGGGATTCGTACATTCCAAGGAAGGCACCTGAGAGTGGCAGTCAGTGGACGGAAGATTGGGTCGACGCGAACGGAGAAATCAACTCACCGAACAGGATCCATTTGCAGTAAAAGTATCTGTGAGAAAAACGCAGACCACTTGAGTAAACCTCTCCAAAATGAACGCAGAAATGGCACTCACAGAAGCTGTCCGAGACGGAATTTACGTCTGCCGCGAATGAGATCCCATTCGAAGGTGAGCGATTGGAAGACCTGGAGGAGGCGTAGGGTTTAGAACTTGCGCCGCATGTCGAACGAGACAAAGCAAGGAATGCGAACCTCTAGGAAATACGCTCTGCAGGACACAACCAACAGTCAGCAGGGTGCATAATTGTTATTTGGGAGGTGTAGATGCATACCCGATAGCAAAGTGTGCCAGGTTGTTAAAGATCATGTTGGTCTTGAGCAAGACCGCGGGATCCATCCAGTTGACCATTTTTGCGAAGGTGAGGGGGGGTGACTGCTCTGCAGAAACGTTTTTTTAGGCTGTCTAGATTTTACAGGTTTTGCGTTGTCGTTGGAAGAAAAAGAGCTGTAGAAATGGGGGGGGGGGAGGGGGCGAGTGGACAAGTCCCTTCGTGGGTGGATGGCCGTCTAGAGTGTGATACTTATATCCTTCTCACACACGCACTTCTTGGAGACAACGAAGACAACGAATAAGTAGGAGAAAACCGCTGCTTCCGCTCAGGCCCAAACTTCGCAACTCAGTACACACATATTTACTAAATAATAATAAATTTTTGGATTGATTTGATGTAGTTTATTTTTTGGGAACTGTAGAGCGAAACAGAAGCATCGAACGCGGAGGAATCAAAATGTCGAACTCTATTTGACCGGTTGACCAGACTGCATCCGATTGCGCG